GAATTACAGTTACTTCGTGTCCTCTAAATGGGAACTGATACCAGCGGGAACTTCCAGTTTAGTGAGCCTGTATGTTGCATCTGTTTACTACTTTCAGGGATTATATTTTCCCAGTGTAAACTTCAAAGCCCCCCCTTTATTTTTACATCTAAAAATTAAATGTGTGGAAGTCCCGTTATACACTGGAAACCATATGTTAATGTTCCCTTTTCTTAAATCTCTTAATAATCTTTCTTACAGTTAATTGTGATTGGCTTGTTACTTTTCCTTCTACCCCCAAGACTTCTAGTAGGTACTTTCACAGTTGGCTGCTTCTGTGTTCTTGGTAGTTACTCATTTTCTGTTGCTTATTGAATGGAAAGGATCTACCAAACCTGTGGGCAAGTGCAGTTGCAGAGTTATTTTGGAAAGGTAAATGGTCGAAATAAATAAATTGTAAAATAAATACAAAGCATGAACACGCATTAGGCCTTCTCTTATCTGGCAAGGTGTGTTTAAACGATTTGGCCAACCCTTGAAATAATGAGGGCCATAGTTAATAACCCACTAAATGTAGGCTATACAGTATAGTTTTCTAGGTTTTTGCAGGAGTGGCCAGGCTGAGCTCAGCTACTGCTGACAGATGAGAGTAAAATGTACATTTTGCAGTGATAATGGTATCTTGATAGCTGCTTACTTGGTTTGTGTATACTTTGAGCAACAGAGAAATAATTACAGGTGGCATTTTTCCTAACCAGAATGCACTCGTTATCCGAGTTGCTATTGATATTTCCACTGCTAAAGTCAACACCCTTCCAACATTTACAAGATGGATTTGTTTATAAGTATGTAAATGTTGAAATATGGTCCATTTCAAGCACTGTTTGCACAGTATAAAGATCACACTTTCTATAAAACTACTGTTTAGATAACGTGCATGAAGAAGACTGACCTTGCCCCATGACACACATAAGGAGATAGAGGAGATTAACACCTTAGAGCAATGGTTCCCGCCCTTGGGTCCCCAGATGTTCTTGGACTAGAACTCCCAGAAGCCTTTACCACCCACTGTGCTGGCTGGCGTTTCAGGGAGTTGTAGTCTTAAGAACATCTGGGGACCCAAGGTTGGGAGCCAAACAGTGGGAGTGGAGGATGTAAGAAGTCACAGGGTAGGAGACTGGAAAGGAGATATTGGAACACACTACTTTAGGGATGAGTTAAGCATTTAGGACACTCAGCAGAGTGTCTATGGGCCAGATAGAGTCCAACATGCCAATGGGTTGGAAGGAAGCTGGTAATGTGGTGGAGTCAGGAGACCAACGTTTATATACCCTCTGTGTTTGTTGTTATAAATAGTAGTATTTTAATTTATGGTTGTTGCTGCAACATTCCAGAGCTGTGATGTCCTTTGATATTTATAGAATTCTTTAAAATCACCTATTACCCAGACCTGGTTATTCACGCACAGTGAGGCATGAAGCTTGGTGGCTATACTATGAAAAGCACAGATTGGGTTGTGCTCTTCACAGTCTAACCACTAGGTTTGCTGATTCCATGTGACAACATAAACCCCATATAGGACTTCAGTGACTGAACCGCTCATAAAAATGCAGTTCCTTCTACAAAGGCTCTTTCCTTTTGTTAACATTTCAAGGGCACACACCTTATCCTGAGGAAGCTGTGGAACTTAGCCCTGCCTGAACAAAGCTTTCCGGGCTAAACATAACCAGTTATGTTCCTAGCTAAGGCCTATCTGCCTGTTACTGTCAGCAGCAGCATCAATCATCATCATCATCATCATCATCATCATCATCATCATCATCATCATCATCATAAAAATAAGAATAATAATAAAAATAAGAATAATAAGAATAAGAATAAGAATTATGGCAGCTCTTTCCAGGGTTTTCTAGGCAGAGAGTACTCAGAAGTGGTTTTACCACCGTCTTCTTCTGAGTATGCCCTGGGACTGTGCAGCTTGCCCAAGGCTACACAGGCTGGCTCTTCTGGGAGTATGGGCGACTGAACTCCCAGACTGTTTTCACAGCCGGATACCTAACTCACTGGGCTATATGGGCAACTCGGACTGTCAAGCCTCTCCCTTTTCAGCCTCTCACCTGAGTGACTAAGGAGTCTTCAAGGGGAAAGATAAATAGCCTCTCCACCATGAGGGGAGAGATTGAGGAGATGCCAGTGCCAAAGATGCCTGGTGTACAAAACACCAAAAGATTGTTCCAGAAACTGAAAACCTAAGGGCGTCCTTGTTTATATGTTAGTGACAGAGGAAGTACACATTCATATATGCAAGCATGTCACTAAGATCTTTTCCCTAAGAATGATAGAACAGGAATAGCAAGTTTGATCACATCTAATGTAACTACCACAAGCTACTTTTTAAAAAGAAATCAGGCTGAAATGGAAGATTGCAAGGACTGAGGAATCCTTCAGCTACTTGCGGGTGGCGGCTATATTGTATGTGAGTTGGGATAACAGCCTTAGTACTTCAAGAATGTAAAAGGTATGTGAAGAATATGTTCTGAAGGACTTCTGTCCTCGCTCCTGCACTTCTTCACTCAGTGGGGACATCTGAGACAATCTTCAGAGAGAGATGCAGTTTGCACCAAGGAATCTTTACACAGATGGATGCTCCTCAAACTGCTCATTTCCATTGTGCAAAAAAAAAAAGCACTGCTAAAATGTTTAAGCAAGTGGAGGGCAAATGCATTTTAGCAGTATGGACCTTTTTTGGGGGGAAAAGAGAGAGAAAGCACAAAAGCAGAACTTGGAAAATTTACTTTTTCAGACCACATCTCCCACAATCTCTTAGCCACTACAGTCATTGGGGGTGGGGGGAACCCTGCACAAAAGGTGGATGACAGAACCAGGTACAAACCACACATGGGGGAAAGGGGGACACTGCAGGTATGCACTGCAGAAGAGATATACATATGGCTGGTAAGAGAGCATTCTCTTCAAGAAGTTACTTAACAAGAGAAGAAAAAAGTGTGAGCAATCTGATGCTGTTATACTTGTGACATTTATTGGAAGCCAGTCTTTTTGTACAGGCAGATGAGTTCAGTTTGTATAGAATAAGGAGTATGTGACACTGACAAAGAACACATTATGACGTAACATAAGGTTGCCAAGCATGAAATACATTCTTAATGCCGGTGCCCTCAGAAGGAAGTACCACAGGGTTGAAGTAGATTTTATTTCCTAATAAATATTCTTAATATTGTTTTTTTAATGTGCTAAGACTACACAATACAAAAAAGGATAAACCGATAACTTGAAAGAGAAATACAAATTAAAAAGAAAAGTTGCACGTAATTTACATAGTACAACTTAAGAAACTTAGCTATAATAGTGCATCCACCACTGGGACAATAATGATTTTTTTCCTTTTCACAATGCAGTATTTATGATACCCTATACCCCTTCCCAAAAATTCATTATCTCTCTCTTTTTTTTTGGTAATCTGCCTTCCCCTTTTCCTAACGCAAAATCCAAACAAATATTCTCATATAACAATTAAATGATTTTCCTTTAGCAATCCCGCTTTTATTTTCATGTTGCATGACTTAATTACTAAGTCTTAGAGTTCATTCTGCCATTCATTTCACTTAAACTCATGATTATGCTTCCAGTTTTTCACAATCGCGCAATCTGGCTGTCGTCACTTTAATTACTGTGAAAAACTGGAAATGTAGTAATGAAATGTTCTTAGCATTATAGTCATGCAGTTGAATCTCTGGGCCTGTCCAGATGGGGAAATTTGGAGCAATCTGGCTTGTGCTTAAAAAGTCCCTCTCTTCAGCCTTCTTGACTGTCCTTTTTTTTTTTTTTAAATTAAAATAAGAGTAAGTAACATAGTGAACGAGCAATGCAGCCACCTGCACACAATACACAGTACACACAATACTTCCAATGTATTTTGGTTATCTAGAATAGCTCTGTATCCGTAGAGAAATAATTTTTTAAAAAAAAGAAAGTGGAAGAGAAAATGAAAATACAGGGAGATTTCCTGTTATCCATTAAAAAGTCACAACCCACCTAATATGTCACAGGTTTGTCACCTCAGATAACATCATCTGCAGCTCTGTTTGGGTGTGAACCAACCATCCGCACGGGATGCACAATGAGGCAATTAGGAGCATGCTAAATTGTGCCAAAAAAAACACCCCAAGCCCTCAGCACTGTGCCAGAAAGGAGTCGGACAACTCTAAAAAGGGTTGGGGTGGAGCGCTCTGCATCAAAACATTTGTGGACACTGTAATGTGGTTCGAACCAGACTGCACCAAAATGATCTTAAATAATGAACTCTATACCTGTCCGGACAGGCCTTCAGACATGTTTAATTTGAGAGAACTCCCACTATATTCAACAAGCTTTGTTCTCTTGGGAATTTCTAAGAGTATAGCTTTGGGTAGAACCACACAGCTTTTCACATTAATCAGTGCGGATTTGCTTGCAGAATAGCAATGAAATGCTGGTGGCTCCTTTCAGCCGGTTATGGTATAAGCCCCCTAACCTATTATCCATCCTTGACGTATCTTACAATGGCAAAAGAGGTCATCTATAGGAGAGGTTTTTTTCTTTCTTTCTTTTAGTGATTAAGGGCATGATAAGATGCTGGTAGCTGGAGCTGGTACCAATGGCCAGATCTGCACGTTTGTAGAGGTTCCACTATTGATCTCCAGAACCCACAGCCATCTACTCGCTGTTTTCGCTGCTGGTCTCTCCAAGCATATAAGCAGTGATACTTGCAAGGAGAGGGTGCAACAGCCTCTCCTTGCTATATGTCTTCGGCTACTGGAATGTGGCATGGCTTTGGCCAACAGAGCAAATGGTCAATGATGACAGAAACGATAATGTGGACCTCCTAAAGGAAGAGGCTCTACTGAGGGCATATCTTTTCACCTCTGCTAGAAATGTGAAGACAATGCTTTATGGATATCATAATTATTTATATGTGCATTATACTGAATAATTCAAATTCAATTAAATATATTTCATTCTAGGGTGATCGTATGTGGCATTTCGCAGTATCTGTCTTCCTGGTTGAACTGTATGGAAACAGCTTGCTCTTAACTGCTGTGTACGGGTTGGTTGTGGCAGGATCAGTCCTTCTTTTGGGAGCCATTATTGGGGACTGGGTAGACAAGAACCCAAGACTCAAAGGTAAGTCATGTTTTGCGGATTTTACTGAAAAACTACCAGATGTATTTAGGACAATCTAAAACTAAAGATGCAGAACCAGCTAGTGATGTTCATGCTGGGTTTCTAATTAGCCAGTTGTTTTTAACTTCATTTTCCCCTAAGACTTTCTGGTTGTAAAAGGCATGCTGATTTGATTGCAGTCTGACAATAACATGCCTTTTAGAGTGTACAACATCTGGATAGAATTCCAGAGGAACAGATACATTGAGACAGGAGGGATGAGTGTGTAGCCTTCCATGACCATTGGTCCTGCATGCTGGGGTAGATGAGAAGTTGGGTTCCATGACATTGGGAGGACTGTGCCATTCCCCATTCTTTCAGGATTAATTTTGGTTGCAATCTAAGGTATGCTTACCTTGGAAGAAGTACCGTCAACGCTGCAGGGCTTAGCAAACATATATAGTTCTGTTGATGTGTCACTGGGAGTTGACACAAAAATAATTGTTACATCCTACAATTAGCAGTCCTGCCTAGGCTAACTCAGAAGGTTCAGTGCTACTAAGTTCAGTGGCACCTGCTTCCAGGTTTGGTGTGCGCAAGATTGCAGCTTTAAAACAGTGCCTTCTGTTTCTAAATATATACACAGCAGAGAGCACATTGCATCATAGTAACTTTAATAATGACCATGTGCATGTTTCAAAATGTATATATTTTATCCTTTGATAAAAGGGCTTCACAGGTAATTGAATTGCCTATGCAAATTTTAAATAATTAGTTCCATTAAGGATATGCAAGCTGGGTGTTTCCATAGCTACACAGATCACAGTATTTGCTGATTGGTAATATTAGTGCTAAACGTCCAGATAGTTTTTGCTAGGTAAAAGTCCTGCTTCATTATCATCAATGGGACTTCATTCAAGGCAGGATTATACCGGTACTTTTGGAGTCTTAGAAGCAGGCTAGTGGAAGTTGTTGCAGTAGAAATATAAGCCTTGTGCTGGAACCTGTTCATTGTAAAATGCATATACTGTACTTGTATACAGTGGGGTCTTGACTTGAGAACTTATTCTGTATTGGAAGGCGGTTCTCAAGTCAAAAAGTCTGTAGGTCAAGTCTCCATTGACCTACAGTGCATTGAAAACCGATTAATCCCGTAACAGGCCGTTTTTGTTCCATTTTGGTTTTTTTCTGGTCTGTAAGTCAATTCTCAGGCTGCAAGTCAAACCTAAATTTTGCAGCCAGAGAAGTCTGTAACTCAAAAAGTCTGTAAGTCAAGCCGTCTGTAAGTCAAGGGTCCACTGTAAATGCTGTGGAATAGATAACGGTCTTTCTCGAAGGGGGGCTTCTAGAAATGCCATTTAGTAGCATCTTTTCTTCCCTAATGGATTTATTCCTGGAAAGAAGTGTAAGAAGACAAGGGAGGGTTACAGATGGAAACTGATAGTGTTTAGAAACTCCATCCCCTGCTGTAGAATTCTGTAAATGATCCCGATAAAACTCTTTATCTGGAGGCCTTTTTTGAAATGACACTGTTTTGGGTAACAGAGTGTTCAGTGAAATGAAACTGGATTAAACAGATGGAATTGATTTAAATTAAGCTGTAAGCCTGGACACTGAACCTATTAAACAGTTTGTGCTATATGCATTTATATATTAAAGAGTATTGGATGACAAGTAGGGGAATATTTTTAGAATGTCTGTAGAATTCCAGTTGCCAGTATTGATGACCTATGGCAGTGGCAGTGAACCTTTTTGGCCCCCTGCCTGTCGAAGCGCTAGCACTGCGGCTGCAGCCGCCTCCTGAGCAATTTATGGCTTGCGTGCCCGCAGAAAGGGCTCTACGTGCCAGCTGTGGCACGTGCGCCATAGGTTTGCCATCACTGACCTATGGTGTCCTTTCTTTATCCTGAACAGTGGCCCAGATGTCCTTAATTGTGCAGAATGTGTCCGTCATTTTGTGTGGCATTCTCCTTATGATTGTCTTCCTCTATAAAGCTCAGCTGTTGACCATGTATCATGGATGGCTTCTGGTAAGTGCAGAAACATTGTGACGACCTCATGGTTCGCCATCTTGAGTTTTGTATTGTTTGTTAGGTGCTGGGGGCAGTGGAGGAGATGTTAAGGTGGGGTTTTGCTTTTTTTATGTTTATTATTTCAGTTTTGTCTGTGTATGCATGTTAAGTTTCTTAGAAGCCGCCCAGAATGGTGGCTTATCCACTAGGTGGGTGGAATATAAGTAAGTAAAAAAAAATCAATTTCATTTATAATCAGAGTTAAGCCTTTCTATGTCATAACATGCCCTTTTCAGAAACCCTTTTTTCTGTTTCCCCCCAGACGTTGTGCTATATTCTAGTCATCACAATAGCAAACACTGCAAACCTGGCCAGCACTGCCACTGCAATCACCATACAGAGGGACTGGGTGGTGGTGGTTGCTGGTGAAAACAGAAGCAAATTGGCAGGTGATTGGCTTTTTGTTATCTTAAGTTGTTACACTTTCATGTGTGTTTGGGTTTCAGGAAACATGAAATCAGTATGTTTTTCTGGGTTGCAGGAATCATGAAGCAATACTAGATTATAACTACAGTTCAAGATATCCTCTTTTTTTCTTTTTTATTGTCTCTGAGAGCAAGGGCAGAGTGAATTACAAAATTTTTCATTACCTAATGATCTTAGGGTTATGACACTGGTCTTTGTCAGTCAGTGTTCAGCTATGACACTGCCATGTTTGAACAAGCAGACATTTGAAACTTAGAATCATTCCTTTGTCACTATGATGATGATGAATGTATTATTGACAGTGTAAGTGGCAAGCAGTAGTGGTTTTAATGATCACCTTTTATCAGATAAAAATGAATTCATATCAACATGCTATTTGAAAAGGAGGAATGCACTGTATTGCCTTCCATTAGTACAGAAAGATGACAGCTTGCGGCTCTCCAGATGTTCCTGGGATTACAGCTGTCAATGTCTCTCACCACTGGTTAAGGTGGCCCAGGGCTGATAGAAGCTGTTGCCTGATCAGATCAGGAGGCTATATGTTCCCCACCCCTGTATTAGCATAAATAGAGAGGGAGTGATAGAGTAGCTTCTTGAGTCTTATGGCTACAGGTGTATGTGCAGTTAAGAAAAAATGTGAGAAGCAGTTCTTAAATATTGATATTAAGTTCTTTGTCTCTGAATAGTCATGCCTCAGAGTCTACGAGAAGGTATTAGTGTACATTTTGTGGTTCAGGGTTATTATAACCAGGAAAAGCGCAGTGTTATTTATAATGTTTGGGTGTCAGAGCCTGTGAATTTAAGACTACTCATTCAGACTACATTTTATTGAAAATATGATCGTAACTTTGGAACAAATACTGAAAACAATACATACACAACTACATAATGCAATCTACAGATAAAAGAGAGGAGGAAGGAAACGGTACAATATTCACTTTAAGGCATGTAATTTTAAAGCCTGGAAATATAAAGAAGGACTTTTGCATGGCACTCGAACTTTAGAGTGTCTTCAGCCACATCTTTCTGTATTGTTTCATAGCTGTAGTTTGAGCACTAAAGGAGGTCCTTTTAACGCCGAAATTCCAGTTATTCTATGATCATATGCTGATGGTGTGTTTTCACATGTTGCTGTGTAGATATGAATGCTACCATACGAAGGATTGACCAGCTGACCAATATTTTGGCCCCGATGGCCGTTGGACAGATAATGACATTTGGATCACCAGTGATTGGCTGTGGGTTCATCTCTGGTTGGAACCTGATTTCCATGTGTGTAGAATATGCACTGCTTTGGAAGGTTTATCAGAAAACCCCCGCTTTGGCTCACAAAATGAATTCAAAGGTTGAAGAGTCAGAACTGAAACAACTCAATGTACAAAAAGGTACCACAAATTTGAAGATAATCTTTGTTGAAATAAAAATGACCAGCAGCACAATCCCATGCATGTCCATTGACAAGTAAATCCTGATGACTTTTGTAGGATGTCCTCTGAAGTAACTGTGTGAAAGATTGCCACCCTATTCATTAATCTCCCCAATTACTTTTTCCAAAACTTCTGGCAGTGCAATAACGCTTAATATCTGGAGTTTGGAAAGGTTACATCTGCTTGTTTTGTTCATTTAACTCACATTTCTCCTTGTGTCCTAGTTTCCATTTTAAAAACTGAAGTGTTATACATTCTGAGGGATTAACCTTGCAATGCACACTAAAACGTAGAGGAGTGTATCAAGAGATCTGCAGATAGAATTCTTCTCACAGAACAGGGCACTTGTGGTTTCTGCAAACATAAAGGATAAGGCCAGTGATTTCTGAGCACTTCTATCCCTTTTCTGGAAAATCTGTTCCTGAGGATCGGGAGACAACTCTGGAAAGGAACGAGAAACTATGTATGAGGCTGTGATGAGTGCTGTCCTCAGGATGAATCTGCGAAAATTTCTGTCCCTTCCATTTGCCTATACTGAATGAAATAAATTCTAACATAAAGGAGGTCTTCCTTAAGTCGGAGAAATAATAAGTATCTAATTTAGAAAAGTTACTCAGAATGTTCCTCTGTTTATAATTAGCAAAAAAAATCATGTAAACATTTTAGAATCTCACATTCTCCTAGTTTAAGCTACATGTTGTGAACTTGAAAGTATCTGAATTAGCCACTGAGGGTCAAATTAGACATTAAGTGCTATCATTTAACCCAGCTAACCAGTTTTTCATCTCCATGATGAGATTTCCTTAAAGATACAACATCAGTCAGACCTGCAGATTAGGGCAGTGTTTACTTTCCAGTGACCTTCATAGAACAACACACGCTAAATGCAGGATGTGTAGGTGAGGGAAATTATGCACCACAACAAAGCAGTGTTCCCTCTCCCACCTTGGGAGGAATCCTTTTCAGACAGGAGAGAAATGTATCTAGTTAGTTTCCAGTTCTTCTGATTTATGAGGTTTCTTGTTTTCAGGTCTTGGAAGTGTTATCTTTTTGATGACAGCTCTCAGAATCTCCAAGCAGCTGAGGCATGTGGAGAGCTGTAATTTTTTTTTTAAAAAGGGGGGGGGAACGTTTCCAAGCTCTCTGTGCTTCTGAGTTAGATTTCTACACCTGTTGTTATTCACAAGCCAGCACAGAAACATTAATTCTGTTAACCTAAATGTGTGGATGTATGTTTGCTGCCAACACCTACTTCTTGCTTTGTTTCCACAGAAGGTGAATTGAAGCCCACCGAAGGAGCACAGCTAATAGAAGAGAAAAAGGCTGCTATCTTTGAGCCCAAGCAAGAGGAAAACGCTAGCTGCCTTTCTCGGATGTCTGAGCCTTTCGTTACATTCCGGGACGGCTGGGTTGCTTATTACAACCAGTCGGTCTTCCTTGCAGGCATGGGCCTGGCCTTCCTCTACATGACCGTCCTGGGGTTTGATTGCATCACCACGGGCTATGCCTACACTCAGGGACTGAGTGGCTCCACGCTGAGCCTCTTAATGGGGGCTTCTGCAATCACAGGAATCATGGGCACGGTGGCCTTCACCTGGCTGCGCCGCAAGTGTGGTCTGGTGCGCACAGGCCTCATCTCCGGAGTGGCGCAGCTCTCCTCTTTGGTCCTGTGTGTGATCTCGGTGTTCATGCCTGGAAGTCCTTTGGACCTCACCGTTTCCCCGTTTGCTGACATCAGCGCCAGGTTGTTCGAAAGCAACCCGTTGCCTACTATGGTGCCGGAGAGCGAGCTCCTTGATGTGCCCTTTCCAACTGGAATGCCTCCCTTGGTCAATGGGTCGACGCCCGAGTTAGGCTTGGCTCCCTCCTCTGTGCCTCTTGTCTCTGTTAGCCTCCTTTTCGCAGGAGTCATTGCTGCGAGAGTTGGTGAGTTGGTTACTCTTGTGTAAAAACATCTGCTTCGTTTCTGTCAGGAAACACCTCCTGTACTTGTAGAGCCTTTCCCTTAAATCAGAGTTCAACATTTCATCTTAACGGTTCACAAGCATAGATGTATAGTGAGAGTGGACAAGGTTGAAAACTCAAAAGCTGGCGGAGGGATGTTGGGTCTCACAAGACCAAAAAAAGGAATATTTTCAAGTTCTGGTTCCCGGGTGTTGGACTGCAACTCCTAGGCTAGCAATACCCAGGGCCCCACGTTAGGAAACCACTGCTGCGACACTGTAGTCCTCTGCATGTCGCCCTGTGTTCAAACGGGGAGCATGTGCAGAGTGCTGCAGTCTACGTGTGGTTCACATTTTGCTGAACTGTTCCTTGAATAATGGAGTGCAAACTATATAATAAATGTAGCTTGAGGGTAGAATTGCTTATGCAGGCATAGCAGGCTCACGTTTCTTGACGCATGTGGCTAGACCCAGCAGAAGCCTCCCATGGATGAAAAGGGGTCCTTCCTTGGAGGGGGGAGGCTTTTGGGTCTGACATGTTCCCCCACCCCGATATAAGAGCAGAGAAGCAAATCTTGATGGATTCCTCCCCACCACTTCCCTAATCTCTGCAACATTAGGGAACTCTCCAGAGGTAGTGGAGAGGATGGTGTTTGGGGGCTGCAGAGGGAGGGAGAAGTGGTAGAAATGGTCTCCCTCCCATAGGCAGGCAAAGTTCCCTTTTTGGGGGGAGGCAGCTCATGAGACAGCGTGGCCCCATGAGCTGGGTGACTGTGGGCGCTGTAGTGCCAAAATGGGTCTTCTCCCCTTTGTCGTCCCTCCTCTTCACGCTGCCATGAATGTTCTTAATGGAATTCCAATCTGGGACGATCAGGCCGGTGGAGGAGAATCCCAGGATGCACCCACTCTGCACCTGGCAAAACCCACTTCCAAGCCAGCGTGACGTCCGTTCTGAAAGAGGGGCCGAAACAGAGCGGAGAAATAACCGTTGACTACTGAAACCTTGTTATAGGGTTAGGGTTGTTTGGTAGATTACCTTAAGTGTTGATAGTTCGTGAGGCTATTCCCTACTACATTTAGGTGCTTGGCTGAATATTCGGTATTTATAGAGATCATGACTTGTTCAAGTTTTTAAAAGGTTTTATTTCTTTCAAAGGCTTTAATTTGCATTTAACTTGTATTAGTTTCTTCTAATGGCAATTTTATTGATTGTACCCCAACTCGAGAGCTTTCACTTTAAGATACGAATGAATGAATGTTCCCTTCATGCAGTCTTAATTACTTTCCTTCAAATAATGAATTACTCCTATCTATCTATCTATCTATCTATCTATCTATCTATCTATCTATCTATCTATCTATCTA